AAAATAGGTCGCATATCACCTCTGATTTCACTGTAATAATTCTTAACAATTTCAGTCAAGCATGTAACCTTGAGAAGATAAGGTTTAACTCTATGGGATCGGCTCTCATTGAAATATCACCTTGAGAAATTTCAAGAGAAAAAAAAAATCCAATGGGCTGAAAATTAATCTCTCTGACCATTTCCGTGTGGAGTTATGCAGAAGCTCAAGCAAGAGCCGTTTTAGTTTTCTGCATCAAAATAGAGTTTGGAAATGTCAAAGTTAGGGCAAATCTGTCTCAAAAAATTTGCATGCGGCCTCAGTAAAGAAGCATCTTTTGCAACAATAAGTCTCACTACTCATTTACGTGCGCCGATGGAAAAAGCTACTTCCCCAGAGAGGAAAAAATTGGGTCTCGAATCTAAGAAGGAATTCATATCCAAAATCACATTTCTCTGGGCAAATGCAATGGGATTTTTGCCCTAAGCCGATTTCAATGCCAAAAACATGTAATTTTTAAGGAGGGTACTTGGAGATCAAGGAAATAACGTTTTCATCAAAATTTTCTAGTGTTGAAAAGTTTGGTTAGGTCAATTAGGTCAAACCAATGGCAACGAAAGTGTCGAAATTTCAATAAGGATATATATATAGTGGTACTGGTGAACTACGAATTGTAAGAACTGATAAAAACAAAAGAAATAAAAAGTTTCCCTTGTAAAAAGATTGGAATAGCAAGATAATAAAAAATACTAGAGCATTCAAACAATCGCTATAAGTTCATATATATGATAGATGAACTCTTAAACTCACCTAGCATGACCTTCATCTGGTCAACGTCCACCAGCTGCGACTTTTAGAAATGATTCTTCGACTCCACTCTGAGTAGAATTAAGCTGTCGAATAAATGCACACAGGACTGAGGGACTGACACTAATTGCATTGCAATTGGGAGTTGGGAATTGCAGTTGAGTAATAATATCTCGACTGAAATTAGAATATCACGAACCATAATCACACGAACTTTATGCTTTGTAATTGCAATTCGGTTTCCGCAAAAATATTTAAATCAAATCGTCTGTCTCAGAAATTGTATCCACAAGCCATTCGCTGAAACTTGCAGGTTTTTCCTAGATTAACACAAAGCCAAAAGCTTTTATCCTCTGAGTCTCAACTCTATATCATCCCGTTTCAGAGGAACGGAAAAATGGAAGGCCCACAAAAATGTTCCCTGAAGCACTTCTGAAACTTTTTTTTTAGTAACCATGAAATCTGTACCTCAAAACTTACTTTCCAGCCGATTTTCAGCTTTTCATACATTATGCTTTTGTTAGAATGCGAGGAATTCATGGGAATCCGCACTTTTTAATAAATGCGCCCCAAGGGCACATACCTCGAATGTTGGATTTTTTTCTTGAACTGGGAAAGGCAACAGTACCATTAGGTTTTATCTCGGTATATCAGCCGATTACACTGCAGTCGATAATATTAAATAATTGCATCGCCTCCGCGTAAACGTGCCCTGAGGGGATGTATTTTCAAAACTCTCAATTTCCATTAAGTCAATGGTCAATCGTGCAGCAAATTTGAGTTTTCTGTCGATTCCCTTTCGGATGAAACTAAAATATTTCCAGAAATCTGGCATTCTTAATAGATTTATGTAAACAAAACCATGTGACGCTCAAAAGTGTGAAGGAAATGCTCTGGAATGGCTTTGTCGGTTGTACTTCCGATATTGAGATGGAGCAACCTTTACCAATAATGGCCATCGATGCATTGCACGACGAAGACGGATGAGGAGGTGTTTTCCGTGACTCATAGATTTGCATCGAAGATGAATAAATGGATAACAAATTGAAACAGCAACAGTTCTTTTGCCTTAAAAGTTTTATTATTTTCGTTCTGTGGCCTTAGTAAATAGGCATATAATGAAGTTATGGAAAAACATAAGAAAGAAAAATGGTTGATTTGTAGATGTTTCATTGCGTCTTCTGTTCTTTGACCTTTTTAAGAATTAAGACCTGGGGAAACGAGAGAAAGCATCTTTTTGCAATTTCTGGATGTTTCGTTGCGGTCTCAGTTCTGCGAACTTTGTGAAGTTGGCATAAAATGAATAAACGGGAAAACGTGAAAAATCATGAGTTTGCTATTTATAAATATTTCATCGATGCTTCCGTTCTGTAACCTATTTAAGTAGGTATTTATTATGAATAAAAACTATGCAAAACAACACTCGAAGCGGAATCCCGTTTCGCCCGAGCGAGACACCCCATTTTGCCCACGGGTGGGGCAAAACGGGGTACTCCCTCTGTCTCAAATTAAAACCGGTGCTTTAGTAAAAGTTTGGGATTAAGAAATGGTACCAAGGAATTGCACTAGGAAGGCGTCAGATATTAAGCTTGAACAATTCTGTACCCAGCTTTGAAATTTTTAGGGTTAAGGGCTAACTGGAAAGTTGAGAAAAGTTGCGTCAAAATTGTGCCTTTTCAGGTGTTTCTGCGATCGTTGCCGGTACTTGAAAATTGATTGATATGGAGCATGCCAATGCGAATATGGTTGAAGGACGAGTAGACACAGCTGCCCAAGTTGCCCCATCGGTCGAAGAAGCGAATCTTGGTCCTGACGCTACCGTTGTTTCCGGCACAATCATGGGCACATCTAGCAAGCAGAAACCAAATCTAACCGAAGAAGAACGTCGAGCAGTGTACGAATGCCTGTTACCCAAGATGAAGAACCCAGAAAGGGTTAAGTAAGGCAAGTCTGCAACGCAGAGGACAGCTACCGGAGAATGTCAAATGCCCAGAAGATGTCATCGAGCGCGCCAACAAGTTCATATCTATCGATGATTAAGCTAGATATTATTTACACAGAGGCAAACACAGGTTTCTTTTTGAGACAAAAATAAAGTCAATACACCGGTTTTATTTTGAGACAGAGGGAGTATATGACAACAATTTTTATCATTTCCCGGGGAAAAAAAAACCGTCGCTGATTTCGCGATGAAGTTGAATCCTTGTTGTAGGTTAGACATGAAAAGTACCGCATACCAACCTGCAACTCCAAAATTCCTCGGTTACCGAATTTTGGCGATTTTCCTAAACCCGTTGGGGTTCAAATAACCAGATGAATGTGGCGGGGCAATAAGGCCAATAGGACGAGAAAAACAGTGATGGTAGTTATACATCTTCGAAGAAAGTAGAAGGAAAATTAGGATATGGAAAAAGGGCGTATGTGCATAATCACTTTCTGTCTGCATCCCAGCAATGTGAGATAAAGAAATTAATTAAAACCCTAAGTTCATTTTGAAAAATGCATGAGATTCCGTTTTACTGAGAGTTAAGTTTTGACCAGCTTTGGATTAGTTATGGGAAGTTTTTATCGTTTATCTCGAATTGCATCCTTTGCGTATACGCCCTTTTTCCAGAGAACTCTTCAATTTTCCCTTGCGTCGATGGCCTGCGCATAAGACGCGTAGATCGGATCTCTTTTTTTCTGATGATCACTGCTTCCGGCTGTTTTTGTTGTTCAAACGGTATGGATCTATTGCCTTGACACGTGAGGGATTTACCTCTTTTTTGTCTTAGTTGTCCTCGCGATATTTATGTATTTTTCAAGTCTGGCCGTCTCTCACGAGATGTCGAGGTGAATCGGCTTAATTCTAGCCACTCCCTCTCATCTGGTCGTTTTTAAGACTGCCTTCTGAATGAGGCATCCAAACAAATTATCACGAAAAAAACATGCATTCGAGGCTGGATTGAATGCGATTTGTCATCCACTGAAGAAAATGAAATCTGCAAAACCTATTGGCACTCGATGCCTGGCTTTCCCTGAATGGCAGGAGCAATTCAGATTGACGTGTTAATGCTGGAAAATATGCGCCTGGAGTCGAGACTTCACGTCTCCAGGTGAAATATGTGGGCTTCAATTTTCCGGGAAAAATTTGAAAAGATGGAGGGGGGAAGGACAGAGCGGACCCAAAGGAGGGGGGGGGGGGGGGGTTGGAAGGGGGACTCATCGGATTCAATAAGGTCGTCCTGACTCAATTTTCTGTTTAAAAATGCTACTTTGGATAAAGATGAGGATTTGGATACTGAGGTAAAGAGGCAATTCTTGCCGTTAAACTCTGAAACAATGAACACAACCGTGAACTCCTCCATGCTTGGTCCCACATTGTTTTCCGACACAACCATTAGCAGACGGAAACGGCATGTTCTAAATGTGTCGGGGATTCCGTGAGTAATATATTTTCATTGAACCTAAAAAAGTATTTGGGGCAGAAGTAACGTTTCCAGACACTGAGGAACGGAGAGGAGCGTTCTCGACCTAGCCTTCAACGCAACGTGGCTTAGGATCGGGGGATGGATAGGAATTCCGCCGAATGAGTTCCAACCCCCCCGTTCAGATACGTCACAAATTTCATGCCTGCTTGTGGATTTTGTGCTTTAAGCTCGTGCTTAAAACGATTTTATTCAGGCTTAAGATGCCCCTTGACGAAAAGGTGGGACATGCACTATCCGCAGCGTCAGAGCTGCACAAACAAACTCGAGAGATGCAAATCCAAAAGCTCATCATGGGAACTTTTCATTCAGAATATTTTCTCTTCGAGTCCATGGGATGGATCCTGCCTTCGTTATTCAGGACGCTTGTTTCCTAGGCGATGTGCAACCCAGAAGCGAGGTAGAATAGAACATTAGTTTCGGTGGCAGAGTTAAATCTGGGAGTTAAGGGTTCGAGTCCGAGTGCCACTGGGCTTATTCCCCGCCGATAAGCGGGACTGTGATTTGAGTTGTTGCCTAGGCCGAGTGGGCCCCCCCCTCCCTCCCGCTTTGCGTATACGTCCGTTGTTGTTTGTGTCTGGCATGTCCTGTCATAAAAAAAAATTAAGAAATATAATACGTAATTGAAAAAACTCACAAAATGTAGGAAAGATGACGGTTCATTGAAGCACGCATCTCCATTCACTCATACCAATACAAAAAAGCTAAAGACTCTTCCACTCTGGGAAAGGAGGCAAGACAGGATCATCAAAACCTCTGAGGTCGGAAGCCACCTCCTCCATCGAATCGTCCGCCACCCCCGCCGAACCGTCCACCTCCATCGAACCGTCCACCTCCATCGAATCGTCCACCTCCATCTTCACCTCCCCCGCCATATTGTCCGCCTCCACCTCCTCCCATGCCAAACTGCCTCCTACGTCCGCCAGCGAAATCCGTCTGACGTCCAAACCCGCCTCCTCCGGATCGAGGTCCCATTCCAGGCACTCCCTGGCGCATGGGCGGATTGCTCTCAAGGATGGGAGCAGTGATCAAGCTTTCCAGTTCCTACCAGAAAAATAAAAACGGATCCATATGAAACAGCTCTAGAACATTATACTGCATACACTTACATCCCATCAATCATATTCATTCTTATAAGCGGAATCACAATATGAACTACTTCCAATTCTTTCTTCTTCCCTCTGACTTATGCCTTTTCTTCCTACTTAATCTACAACTTATTTACTTCTTTCCAAACTATTACATTCAGCACCCTGTTCACCCATAGGGCAAGTTGCACCAATGCACCAGTTTGAAGGTAATGCTACACTTCTGCATTGCAGCAGAAATGCAATTATCAAGCTTTCACCAAAATTGGATGTGATGATATCAGGACTACAAGGCCTACTATCCTGACATTGACGGTTGGTTGGTGAGAGAAGTCAAATGACTGAGAAGATTCCAAAATGTAAAAAAATTAAATAATTCAAAAGTTAACAACACTGATTCATCTTCATTTGCACATTGTCCTGTCAAACATCCCTGATCCAAATAATTATATGTGACTAAGAGGAAGAACTCAATGTTGTGTAGGTTACAGGATTAAAGTCTAAAGATTGAAAAAACATTTTTTGCAAAATTGATGGACTTGGATGTAAACATGGACAGCTGAAGGTGTTGGTGGCCAAATGCAAGGAATACTTTAATCAAAGGAAATCTTGCTATTTAATGATAAAAAATTCACTTTCTGCTCCAATATGCACATGTAATCAAAAGCAATGCCAACATTTATATGCACTTCATGCCAAACGCTGAAATATTTTCTCAAAGAAATTCATACCAACAAATGCTTCAGATAAACCCTAGCAGAACAGATATGCAGTTCTCTTATCTACAAGCAGGGTTGGATAGTTTTAGTTAGAGAAAATGCAAAACCAGGAAGTGTTGTTGAATTGCTGAATCTCTGTTTTGAGGGGGCTTAGAGCTGGGAATTCACCGAACTGGACATCCAAAAATCCATACCTGGAGCATGCTTCATGGCAGTGTGACCAACATATGACCAACAGCATATTTCTGTCTAGTTTACAGGTAGAGGCAGCAACTAATTTGGCTCATGAGGCATTAAAGACAGCATCTTCCCTGCTAGTTGTCTTCTATCTACTTGCATCTCACTTCTGCTCACCATGCTACCTACCCTCGCACTCTCTCTTATTTGCATAAAAGGTGTAATAAAAAGAAAATGAGGGAAGAAAGAACAATCCAAAATTTCAGCCAGAATAGGCCTCCACAGGACATCCCTTTCCCTGTTTCCCCCAAGAATGCTTTAGCCCATATCAGGATGAGGTTCAAGTAATAACTTTTTAGCAGGTGGGCTTTTTTTTCAGCTTTCTCCACACTACTCATCCATCATGGTGTCAATCCATTTTAAATGCAACTTCTTAAATTCATAATGAAATTCTGAGCATGTGAGACCTCTTGAGAATAGTTTCCAGTGTCCTGAAGGCCCTGTTTGAGGCGATCAAACTCAGCTTTCAACTCAGCATTCTCTCGATTCTCCACTGCTCGCTCCAATCGAGCCACCTATTGAAATGAGGGTATTTTTTCATGTGAATGGCAGGGATATGCTTCCAAGACATTATACAGGTGGGGAATTTTCTCAACTGTGACACAGTACCCACTTCCTCGTAGAAGAGACACGTCCTTGCAGCTCGAGGTTCTGTAAAGCCTATTGTCTGTACCGTAGAAGACCAGACGGGTGAAGTGAGTCCCGGTGGTGGATAATGTTCCTAAAGAAATCCATCAGAAATACATGGCAGTATCATATACTCATCACAGATCTGACAAGATAGGTCATCTATTACTTAAGGTATAATGAATTTAGGTATTGACATGCTTCATTAACATTTGAAAGGTGACTAAGTGCAATTATCAAAAAGAAGAATAGATACTAATGTGGAATGAATTCTCCAAATGTAATTTTGCACAGTTATTTGGAAAGAAAGGGTAGAGAAAAGCAGGGAAATTCCTGAAGGATTTTGAATATTGAAGGGATACCTTAAGATTCCGCACAGTGACATAGTTCTGCTGGATGGTGTTGGTGAGCATCTCCAGGGCAACCCGGGGTTGGCCCTGGTTGATGGCTAGTGCAGCTGCAAATGCGATTCCCTTTCGCATGATTGTTGACCCAGCCTCCTTTGCTGCCTGGAACAGCTTACTTGCATACTCCATGCTGTCTGGACTGTTCTGTGAATCCCATGAGCACGCACATATATGCATAGCACAATCAAATCCAATGGTGTTACAAAATCTACACATCTGTACTCTAGAGACCAAAAAAGCTTACCAGTTTGTAGCAGGCAGCAAAGGCCAAAACCACAGGGTTTCGAGGAAATTTAGCACCTTGAAACTGTTGCTGAAGCAACAGATCAAAAACCTCCAGAACCTCCTGATAGCGCCCCTTCTTATAAAGGAGGTCCATGGCCACAAAGTAGGATGTGACCTGGTCAAAGAAACCTGACAGTGATGGATCTTTCAGGGCCTGAAAGAGATATAATTCATGAGTGAGACCATTGTGGGTAAAGGAAAGAAGAGAAGAGATAAGAAGTTCATCAAACCTGAAGGGCTTCATCAGCATGGCCGAGGTGATGGTACATACGCATCACCACTGGACCGAAGACAAAGCCACCAAAACGCAAGGACTTGTTTTGTTCATTAAACCTAAGGTAAAAAAAATATGGAACAGATCACGTCATCTATTGCACTTTTGTAGAAATAGTGACACTATAGGCAAGGTCCAAAGTTATGTGGAAACTTGGAAATATGTTGCATCAGGTGACAAAGAATAACATTGCAATATGAAGCATGTAGAGCCATACCACTTCCATATTAAATTCAATTAAGTATGGGCCAACCTTTTCATCATTTTTGAGATCAATTCCATGTCAGTTGGCCTATCCTCAGCCAGATAGAGCATGTTCTTAAGGTCTTCTGTGAAGATCATGTTCTGTTCACTGGCCGCAACAAATTCTGACATTCGTTGTCGGAACTTATCTGTCATGTTTCCAAATTGACGGTTTGTTCGGTCCCGTGCTTGGAGATACATGTTCAACCCCAGAGGTTGGGGTCCAAACACAAATCGACATGGCACATCTGGAAAATGTCAAAGACAAGAAAAATCATGTTTCAAGGAAAAGGGCAAGGTTGGGGGAATGATGGGGATTAGTGCAAAATCCCTCATCCTCCATTTCTGAATAATGTCATATTACTGCCAAAATTTGGTTTTCTCAACTACTTGATGAAGAAGGAAAAAACAGGATTGAAAATATCACATTTGAAATTTTTGCCAAATAACTTGCACATCTAACTCATGTTGTATGATAACAATTCTAATACATAGATATTGTAAAACTTCACTTATTCAGCAGCAATCATTCTAATCCATCACATATATGGTAACATCAACACCATCAGCATCTACAACATTTACAGTACTGATGCCAGTGCTAATGCACTATACCTATACTGCATTAAATGAAAGAAATGCAAGAGTGAGGAAATGCAGCCATGTTCCAGACTCCCTCATCCCTTCTCCAAGAAGAGGAACCAGTGCTTCTAGCATCTTGCACAAGAATATCAAAATAGTATCAAATCAAATTGCTCAATTGAGTAGAATCTCTTTGGGCATGCTGCTAGATTTCCCCAGTCTGTACTGACAATGAAGAGGCATGTGTCAGTTTTGGATTCATCCAGCATGGGTAGACCTTGAATTGAGGAATAAGCCATGTCATTATGCAGCCTATCCCTTAAGCTTATAAAACTTGAACTGGTTTTCTCTCATTAGACTCCAACCATAAAGTTTTAAAACACTACAAACTCCAGGTTATCAATGTCCTTCATGACGGAGAAGTATTTTGGCTCATGGATGAACAAGGTATCAAATTAAACTATCTTGTTTAAGAACAGAACCAGAATGGGTACTGCCAAAACCTAAGGGGAGTAAAGTGGCAGGGAAGAGGGGAGCCAAAGAGTACTTTCACTGACCATAAGTTCAGACTTCACTGAATATAAATTCCCAGAAGTAAAAAAAAAATCCCTCTCTTCACCTCTCCTGGTATTTTGCTTTAACTCCTGTACTGGTCTTCAAACTTGAATTATTTTGACTGGATATAGAATTTACCCAACCTCCCTACTAAGAGTAAGAAGGCTCTGAGAAGCAGTAGGCACTTTGAAGGGGCTTCCACAGTGGTAGGGGGAGGGAGGAGGGTTGTGGTAAAGCCAGATTCCTTTATAAAGGTGGCTGGAAATGCCACCTCCTGAGGGAAGGGGGGGGGGGGGGGACAGATGCATTTCTAGATGAGTTAGAGATGACAGAAGCAGAGTTGGGCAAGGGTCTTCAATATTCCTTAAGGAAAAGAATGTCTACCCCCCCTCCCCCCCCGCTCTTGCCACGACTCCCTCTGCCTCCCATAAAATGCGCCGCTACGTAACGACGTAATTGGCATTTCTATACCCTCAAGTCAAAATGAACCCCATGGAAGACCGGCTATATTTACCTTTGGGAAATGTTATCATTTTTTGCACCCGGCAAATACAACATCGACATGCATCTGTAAATCTTTCGACTACGGTGTTACCGCCCCTTCATGAAATGTGCCGCAATTTGCATTGTCATGCCTAGCCAGTAATTTCCTTGTCCCAACGTTAGCGTAGTTGCAGGACTGGAACTTACAGGAAGTGCAAGCTGGCAGAAGTTTCCCATCGGGTTTGAGGGAAGAGGTGAGAAGAACGGGACCCGGGCAAAGACCAAATGGATTAGAACGCAGAGGCAGAGCACGCTGAAGCCGCATACAGCAGGACGCCATTTTGAGAGAGCATATTCGATTTCAGCAAGATTTCACTTCATTGGCGTTGTCCTTGTAGAGATAAATCCATCAAATTTCTCCCATACAAGAGTATTCCAAGCCAAGAAACTCTTGTCAGACCAGATTGCAATCTGCGATGAGCTTCATTCTTAATTTCATTAGTCGAACCCGCGTCACCAACACTCACGGAAGCAGCGAACAAGAACACATAGGTCCTTTTCGCTTCGGCTTTCAAATCGACAACCCTTTCGGGCACTCTTCCGAGGAAGCCCACATGCGCGTCATGAAATTCTTTGGCACACTGTCGCCTCGGCGGAAACCACAAACTCGCGCACGCCTCATTCTTGATTGATGAAGTTCGGGAATGAATGCCAGCCGTCATTGGCGACGGTCCTGGAGACTCATAATAATCATTGTTAATTGAAGGGCTCAGAGGACAAGTTGTCCATCAACAAAAAATTATTATCTGGGTTCCATGGCGGGATAACCCCTCCCCTCCCCCTCTTGGAATCCCCGGAACAGAGATTGGCGCTCCCTTGAAGGTACTTATTTTATCGCCCGAAATCAGTCGGGTGGAGTTTGGCGTCACCGTTCTTCGGACAAACTACGCAACCGCCAAAGACCGTCTCCTTGAGAGTGATAAAAAGTAGTCTGCATGGATAGACCAGTTTTTCTTCTATATGAATTTCTAAAAGTTACCATTTTCAACGAAATGAGTTGTGGGACCACTAAACGAACTACACTTTATCGGACTCAGGGCTACCGAGGGGCTGCGAGCGCTCAGATTGGCTGCCAAATCGCTATAAAATATGAATAAAAATTGCAAATTATCCTGGACTTATCTAAAATGAACAAAAAAAATCAATATGAAATGCGTGGGTGGTGCAGGAAAAGCTGGCGAGGTATGGAAGAGGGTAGGGGGTGTAATCTCGCACAAGGCGAGAAATATCCTCTATACGATCCTGATCGAACTTATTGTGCAGACAGACTAGGTTTCTCTTCAGTGCTTCAATTGCAAAGCCATGCCGACGATTGAAGTATTTCCTTCAGGAAGTTAAGATCAGGGTTGCCAGATTTTTCTTCGTTTACCAATGATTACTAACTGAAAAATCCTCTCACCTGGATTTCAAATTACTGAATCCAAAAATCCAATCTCAGAACATTCGCCTGAACAAGTTCCCAAGTTGCAAGTAATTACTCAGTGAAAAATATGCAAAAAAATTACATGTACGTGCATAATACAGTATCTTATTTCTTCCATACTTGGAAACCCCTCAAACTCCATCGTTGGGAACCTTTTGGAACTGTGCAATGCTCTCAATGACAAGAACAGCAGAATCCTGCTGCCCTTCCCATTCATCTATAACAGAGGTAAGGGCCCCTCACTGAATCCTTTATCGAACGGTGATGTGCTCACAACTATTAAGGACTGGATTCAATTAAAGGTCATTGATTAAAAAAAAAAAACCAAAAGGGTATGATCATGACCTTGAAAACTCTCATCTCTGGCAATCCTGAAAATGCTAGCAGTGATGTTGCATGCTCCAGCAGCCACAAAAAAGTGAAAATGTAGGGATAATAAATTGGTACAAAACGCAAAAAAGTGAGGTTTCTAATTCATTGACATCCAGAACAAGAAATGGCAGTGATATTGCCAACATGGCAAAAGATCAACAGAAACACTGACTTTATTGCAAAGATACTCAACCAGGAATGGATCAGATTGCAAGGATAGGACGCCCTCCAGACTGATGCTCCCCCGAGGAACAGAGGGCGATTCTTGCGCGTACGATGCAGACAAAGAGATGAGACCCAACATTGATAAAACATCCAAGACCACAAGCACAGGAACCAACAGAAACTTCCAAACAGATGCGGCAAGTTGCTGCGGAATGCCCGGGGTCAGAGAGATCGACAAGGGAGAATCAAGGAACAGATGGAAAAGATTATTGAGAGCACTGCAAAAAGATAATGTTTAACAAGAAGAAAGGAATCACAGCAATCGAAGGCAGGGCGAGAGGGAAGTGGGGTCGGAACTGCAAGCCGCGGCCCCAGTCAGATTTCAAACGGGCGGTCACTCGGTGGCATCATCCTTGGAGACAGTGAACGGTTCTGCAACCTCTTCATGTCCGCAGTCTTCAATGACGACGTCCTTGGTCGGTCGGTCCCGCCCATCGGTTGTTGTGGCCTCAATTTTCTTCACAACATCCTGTTCGACCAAAAGGATGAAATGAAACTAGTATTTTCATATCCAGGCTGAACATATATTTTTCTCACTGAAGAAAATTTAAACTGTGATTCACAGGGCAGCTACAAATGGACTTATTAATGAGTCCTGTGGACTCAACACATGAATGGTGTAAAATTGCAAACAGAAACAAAAAATGGACTGATGGAAGTGCAATGAATCTTGTGGTGCACTTGGCAAGAACAGTTTAAAATGTTAACAAAATAAAGGCCATACATACCAAGTTCTTAAAGAATGGCTCTATTGATGGACACCTAATCACCAGAAGCTAGTCAATCATACCTATCTCATCTCAACTCAAATCCAAAGAGGTGAAAAAAGGCATGAAAAGGTAATTTATATAACTCAGCAGCTAAAACAGAGGAAAGGCTTCCGAAGTGGACCACCCCCAGAATGGTACATGTGATATATCAATCGCAAGCTCTTGATGAATAGATTGCGTTGGTGCATATTTTAGCTGAGAAAGATAAGAAAAGAAGTAGCAATTTAAATTTTAAGATGCGTGGGTTGTAGGCTAAGCAGGCAAGTAGTGGCATGCGCGTGCATGTTCAACATGGGGGCAGCCATGTTGAGTAGAGGGTGAGAGCGCCCCTTTTTGTTGGAACAGTAACCTTATGCGCCCCATATTCCCCAAAAGAATAAAATCAATCACCTGAATGCTAGACACACACACTGTTTCACCAGTGCTTTTGGGTTTCACTATAAACCTAAACTAACTAACATCAGAGAAGATGGGATAAAGACAGATCAAGGGAGCTGCATTCCTTCTATATTTGGCCGAAAAAGCGAGAAAGTCAGCCTGTTTTGGGAATGATGGGTCAGTTGGGTTAGAAAATAATCGCGGCCGAAGGCCACAACCCTTTCCTAACCCAACTGACCCATCATTCCCAAAACAGGCTCACTTTCTCACTCTTTGGCCTTTGACACCGAACTGGGAAAAAAATTCCTGAGGTACACTAACTGTGACCCTGTGAGGACGGATCTCACCAGAACAATGAAGACTGGACCAGAAGGGCTTAAGAAAACTTGACCTGAGTACAGTGTGCATGCCTGGGAAGGCCATAGCACAGCTAGCAGACGCAATGGCCTGGGCGGGGCACGTAACATGGCTGCTCCGAGGATGCCCACGTAGAGCATTACCATTATATTACCACATTAATATTACACCTTCATACCTCAACTCTCTCAGCTGAAACACATATTCACTGTAACCTATTCCTAAAGTACTTTCATACCATATATCTCTAGTGCCATTCTGGGGGTGGTCCACTTCGGAAGTCTTCCCGGCTCGGGTGATACCCACTTTAGTAACAGGGCATTGTGCTCAAGAATTAATAATAGGGCTACAGGCCAATGCATGCCTCACATTCAGCCAGCTGAACTTCAAGTATTTGCAACAACAGTGGTACACCTTAACAGTCTGCTCCTCCTTAGATTATGTTCAAATCCTTTTGTGCTCTTCATCACCAGCCAACTGAAATTATTCTGCGCATTCATGGCTTTTGATATCAGTCTTAGATACATCCTAATTAATCTTCATCAATTTCATATCTAGGGCTGTTTAAGATAGGGTGCAGGCCCCTATACCCATGCCAAGATAAGCTTCAAGTCATGGAAAGGGGTGAGGCAAGTTTGAAATTTACATGAAATTAGTAAATAGAAGAAATAGTAAAAAGTTTAATAATGCCACAAATCTTCAAAATAATATTTAAAAAAACGTTCAACTGACCATGCCCTTGATGACCTTGCCAAAGACAACATGTCGTCCATCAAGCCAAGAGGTCTTCTTCACTGTGATGAAGAACTGGGATCCATTGGTGTTCTTGCCAGCATTGGCCATGGAAATCCATCCGGCTCCATAATGGTTCAGCTTGAAGTTCTCATCATCAAACCTGTCCCCATAAATGCTCCTACCTATAAGGGGTTGATGTGGATTGTTGAGTAGCACAATCTATGACATTTAGGCCATTGGTGATTAGAATCTGGAATATAAGTTTGTGGTCTTCAGCATCTACAACTATAAAAACCAGAACTTCTTTAAGCCTGGAGCGTTGATAGACAAGGTGCATTAATGTTTCAAAGATACACTACTTTCAGTGCTACCTAGATTCCAGCAGAGCACAATGAGTAGTTCTAGCCAGAAAGTCATAGGAAGTCAGGCATACTGGACTCATTGAAAGTGAAGTTCATGCAAAGCTTCAGAAATCACAAAGTTAAAAAAACTCACCTCCAGTGCCATCTCCCTTAGTGAAATCCCCACCCTGGAGCATGAAATCCTTGATGATACGATGGAACATGCTCCCTTTGTATCCTTCTCCCTTGGGAAGCTTGGCCAGCTCAACAAAGTTCTTCACCGTCTTGGGGACAGTCTTCCCGAACAGACCGATCTCGATCCTTCCAGCCGGTTCGCCTCCAATGGACATGTCGAACCACACCTATTGTGCAATGCAGAAAAGACACAACTGAAGGACATGTGAAACATATTGGAGAAAAAAATGCTAATTTCAACTCGGAAGCATATCGTGTTACCTTGTCTGTCACTTTGGGCCCCTTCTTCTCGGAAGCAAACGTGCCGGTGAAAAGGGAGACGGCCAGAACGATGCTAAGTAGTATTCCTGCTGCCATGATTAATTTGAGCACCAGATTGCGTGTCAGCTGCCACCTGGCAATATTTGGCTGGATGGGTGGAGTGGGAGTGCAGTTTAGGAAGGGGTTTGGCTCGGCTTCTGATGAAGAAGGGGTCCCGATGTGAACCGAGCTGTAGATCGACAGTTCGACAACTTCTGCACTTGAGCAACTTCACAGCCAACACCCTTCCAGCAAACCAGCTAAGCAGTAATACGGCCAATCCTACGCCTACCTGAACCACAAGGAAGAGAGCCGATTGATTACATCAACACTGAGAGTTCACACCTGAAATGTTAATGCAAGCTAAATGGTGGCCTAACGTTAGGAAATACGGATTGTGGATTCATTAATTGGCCAAGTGAAAATCTTAACGTGTGAATGAGAACATGATCTATTGGTGCAAGCGATTAACCATAGCTAATGTCCGATCTCTTATTAGGTCTATGACGTCTTTTTTTAGGCCTAACATTAGCCCAACACTTCGCTCATCCACTTCTTAGGCCTGGCAATCGATGCTACATAGACCTACTAGGCCAGGTCATAAGTCCGAAATAACACTTTATGTAAGGCCTACGTCGGGCCTTAGAAGATGCATCGGCTCACGACACGTTTAGTTCAATGTACCCACTACAATTGGCGATTTTTGTTGCCACGCGGACGCCGAAAGCCGCACCCCAATACCCATGCTTCCTCCTCGGTGTCACGTGACTCAACGTAGGGTTTTTTGATTGGTCCACATGTCCAATAGCTGAGGGACCTGTGGTCCTGTGTCCTCGTGACTGTCGTCTGCTATCGAACCCGTATTGTAGGCAAGGACAGGGTTTACTCAGTGGAGATATCTCGTTGATGCACAGGGCCGCTTAGAAGGGGGGGCGGAGGGCATTGTGGACAATTTTCCTCGCGTGCGGCTTGTCAAGGGGCTCCATGGGACCTCCGGTTCAGTTATGCCGCAGGCCAGTGCCGTAACAAGGGGTGTGCGAGCGGTGCAGCCAATCGGCACGTGCCGATTGGCTGCCGAATTATCATAAAATATCAATAAAACTTTTAAAAAAATTGCAAATTATTCTGAATTTAACTAAATTAAACATAGAAATTAATACGTAATGTATAGTTGGTGCTGTGGAAGCTGGAGAGGTACAGAGGGAGGGGTGCGTTGGACTGATATTACGCACAGGGCGCCAAGTATCCTCGGTACCAGGGCCGTTTCTAGGGCCGGGCGATCGCCCGTTGCGCCTGCGGGAGGAAGGTAGGAGGGCAGGGTGGGGGGGGAGGCACCATTGGAACTCCTTGCCCTGGACGCCAATATTCCTAGAAACGGCCCTGCTCGGTACGGCGCTGCCGCAGGCCTGTCTATACAAATGTGTGAACTATGGTCGTCTACAGTTCCTCAAGGCAGACTAACAGAGATCCTTTCATATACCAGATGTACGAGAAAAATGATGGTTTGTCAAACCACAATTATAATTGCATACTATTTTTGCTGTGCGATCAGGATTTGCTTAGCCAAGCTTCAATGACGAACCGAGGATTTTTGCCCCAGGTGAAACAGCAGTCTCAGTTCTGTGAGACTAGAGGGGCTCTCATACGGTTCTTTACCCCTAATTCTCAAGCCTTCGTAAGTACCACCCAACGGTCTCAAACTTCAATGATTTCAACTCTCGTGTCACCGCTCCGGCAACCCTGTCACGAGTCAGTCCGCATCCGCTGCCAGGCGGAAGACGAAGCCGCCACGGGAACGTGCAAGAATTCCTCGGAGCCGACACGATGAACGAATCGACGGAGGACGCATGATTGGTACGATTCCGTTCAGGCTTCAAATTTCCCATTATTAATGTAGGCCTACCGTATGAGGATGGGAAAAGCCTTAATGTGAGAAATCCCACCGCAGACCAGCAAAATCTCATGAGACACTCATCGAGGGCAGCTAGAGCCACAACCAAAGAAAGAAGTTAGAACAATTAGGAAAAATATGGAAATACATTAAAGTATTCTTTAGGAAAAGCCATTACTTTAATGATTTTCTTGTTCGTCTTTCCATCCGATAACTTCCAAGTCAGCCTATTTCTTTTCTCTTTTTTGCGTAGCTGTATAGTACCGTATAGTACTTAGTACTTAGTACTGTTACGGCTCTGCGGGACGGGATGAGAATTTCAACGAATCGTGAGAATCACAGACGGATGGTTACTGTAAACCTTGTTTATTCACGAGGCATGAATTATTATTTAAAAGAGAGGAAACGAGTTCCAGGACATGAGGATAAGTGAAGTGTGGAGCGAGATTCCCCCGATCTCACTCCACTGATTCCCAGGCTTTCATTTCCTGGCACTTACTAGCGAAAGTTCTGCAAACATGCCTTCGTCCCTTGTCTCATGTTACCATTAAAAACGAAGAGAGAAGTGGCAGAGGACAGTAAGCAGGAAATCTGCCAGGGGGGGGGATTAATTACACAAAGTGCGTTACTAATCAGTGCTTGCCGGCTGAGATCAAGAGTCAGAGGCCGATTTAGTGGGATGAGCTCGTACCGAGGCTTCGAAATATTACCGAACGGAAACTCCTCAGCAGGCGATTCCTTCTGATCCGAATTCGCTTTTAGGGCTGGGATGCTCTTGCCGAGCCACCTTCCAGTCTCGAGGCGTATTATTGGTCATTTTCACATATTCCAAAATTCAAAAGGAATGGATGGCAGCGAAGCAGGACTTTCAGAAAAGCAAGAGTCGACGCGTCGTGTTGCCATAAAACTGATACCTTCTCTTGCAATCGGATGGCCACCTCTCTTTCGCCCCTTCATTTCCCTCTCGAGTATTCCTGAATTCTGACGACAGGCTCTTGATCCTTGAGGGCATGTCATCCCGCAGCCCGTCGGCCCCGTTCGGAGCTTGATTCGGAGGAGATGAGGGTTCAGGGTGAAAATGCGAAAGCGTGAGAGACATCTAGTGCGAGAGGAGTGAAGCTCAAAGTGTGGACTCCGATCCAAAGACGGGAGGTTTCTTCAGATTCCGGACGAAATAACAATACTTTCAAGATCTGTCCAAACCTAAGGGTGCGGGGGGTGTTACTTATCTTCATCTTTCTGCTTTTAATCCTGGGAATGTCTTAGGCGGGGAATTTCAAGTCCCCCCTGATCAGTGCAACCCTGAGGCTTGGATTCATTCTTCCTGTCACCTGAATTAGACTCATCACTGAGCAGAATTGCTAAATTCGCTACGCGAGCATTTCAATCGATGGTTGAAAAAAAAAAGCATGGTTTCCTGAAAAATCTTATCCTTGTCCTAGGCCACGCAACCAAGTCGGCTCGGCGCAACAAGCCTCACCTGTATTATTTTTCAATCAACTTACCTGCAGATTCGCTCCTGCATCGACTTTTTTTCCTGGCACCGGCGACCTTGAAAACTACTTTCGTCTTCTCTCATCCGAATTCATTTTGACGATGAGGCACAGTCCATGTCCCAAGGCTCATCCGTCTTCACCATAAAAGATTTTCCATGCGGATGAACCGCGGATCATTCGCATAATGAAACCCGTGCAAGCACTGCTCGAAGATGTTAAAGGAGTACATCAAAGAGACTCCTTTAACATCTTCGAGGCCTTCGTTTCCCCTCGGATCGGCATTTCTCGACCACGAACCTCCAATATAAATAATATTATTATGTATGCAAAACCAGTAAAATGAACCTAGCCAGGACTTCCGACTTCGTGCATGACAGTTTGTTTTGATCTTTCAACTGGAAAAATCTTCGTTTAAAAAGGAGTCTTCCCTTTTTTTTCCACTCCAACGTTATGCCTGCGCCTGCTTTTTAGTTGCCGTAAAAATCCTGATGCCGCTCAAACTTTGAAGTGACCTCGCGCAGTTAACTTGTAATGCTTCGGAGGGGCATTAACTTTTTTTTTTAGTACCAAGAAAAAGAAAGGTAGACATACGTATCTGATAGGAAGAAGGAACATGTATCCTTGTTGCAGCAACAATATTAATCTTTACATTCTTCATTGATAGATGAGGTGCATTTTTTTTTAAATTAAAGGTCCATACTAGTAGTATGCAATATGAGTCAATTTTAATCATGATTTTTATTAAGGGAATATCCATCAGAAATGGTTAGAATTTAGAGGCGGTTAGAAGCGGTTCTTCATCAGAGGTTCCCTGCCCGCTCCCTATAGCGCTTCTCGAATACACCATTAGCATTGTAGAATTCTGGTCTTATTGCACTAATCCATCAGAAATGGTTAGAATTTAGAGGCGGTTAGAAGCGGTTCTTCATCAGAGGTTCCCTGCCCGCTCCCTATAGCGCTTCTCGAATACACCATTAGCATTGTAGAATTCTGGTCTTATTGCACTACCTTATTGAAATGAAAGAAAATCCTCTCTACACCCTTGGCATCTTCTCTTGGCTCCCATGGGTGCCGCGGCACACGAAGCACGCGCAGTGTGAGAACCGCTGCCTTCAAGTAATGCATGCGTGCATTCACCTGGAAGTCCCAGGATTGCCGCCTGAGATCGGTGGGTCAGCTGTTGCGTGGATCCATTTAAGTCATCAGAAGAATCAGCTTCGGGGTCGCAACAAATTCACGATCATCGCAATTCAGAGCACGAGTTCCGGACGTCTTCCTCGGGTCACGAAAGGGAGAAAAGGACTTCAGGACGAATTTGTTTTCGTTCCGCGTTCCGTTCCGTTCCACCTGATCCCCGAGCGTTCCGGTTGCTGTTCCGTTCGACAATGATTTATTCCGTTCGTTCCGTTCCATGAAATTTTTCCGTTCCATTGCGTTCCGTTCCGTTCCATTGTATATGGAAAAACCTTCAGAAAAAAAAAAACAAAAAACAATGACTGTAAATTCAATGAGATTAATCGACCGATTAATTGATTGAAGAATTAATCGTGATTAACAAAATTAGTCGGAATTAATCGAAATTTGACAACCCAATTTCCTCTTTTTGACTCTTTTCCCCCGAAAAATTTAACTATGTAGATCATAGTTTTGCAAAACAACCGAAAACGGGAATGATGGCCTATAGAAAGGTTTTCATTTTTGTACTGCTCACTCTTCCTCAGAAATGAGAAACTATTTTTGGAAAATGGGAACACTCGAAAAAAATATAATCGCTTCCTGACCTTATTCGCATCCAAGGCCTCGCGCGTCAGGCTGAGGTGGCAGAGGCTAACGGACAAGGCAAATTAAAAGTTTCTGGATGGGAATGTGAAAAAATAAATCGTAACGAAGAAGCTGCAAGGGAACGAGGAAACCGAATAAGGGAATTAGGCCAGGGACGTGGGACGGGAAAGACAGGAAAGAGCATAATGTAAGGACGAGAGCGAGAGGCGCACGTGTCACTCGCGCCGGCGAGTACCCAGAAAGTACCCAGAAAGTACCCAGAAAGTAACCGGAGGAGAGGGAAAGCCGGAAGCAGGCGAGAGAAGAGGAAACGAAAGGGTGAAACCCTCAGCTCTAAAGTTTTGCTTTTTCCGTTCTTCCATCCTGTGTTGCCCGTGAATCGATAATGAATTTCTAAATCTCCACGCAATGAAGTATTACTCTATACTATACCAAACATGGTAACATTTTTACATCCTTCCGGGATGGGTTGGCTAAATAGGAAAAGGCCTCAGTACGTTTCTTTGCTTAAATTCCTTTATTCATCTGGCTAAGATGTAATTATTCTCTCTCCGATTGGAATGTGTCACATGTAGATTGAACCAGTGCATGGATAGTATTGTTAGCGACTACATCACCTTGAGGCACTTCCTACAGTGTTTTGCAAAGGAATTCGTTCCACCTTTAACATGAAACCCATGCTTTTCTATGGAGGAATCCCAATCGACTGTTATGAATTATAATAAACAGGTTTCCTGTCTCTGATTCCTCGATGCCCGTGAAATCAATGTTTAAATGTCCAGCCTGGTGCTTGGCAACGATCCTGTGCTCAATGACTCGTCTATCCATTCATATGGGCCGCGCGACGTCATCTTCGCTGTACGACAGCTCCCAAGCGACTAACCGATCGATGCAATGTGGCTGTCAGAAGCACGAAGAAAAACGTCTATCCTCCGGAATGGAAACGGTAGTTGGACCTCCTCTGCCGCCGCATCGGATGGTCGATCGAGTTACCATGCACAATGTTTTAAAGGTGGTACGAATTCATATGTAAAGCACTGTGAGGGTCGCCTAGGAGTTGAACATAACGCTAACGGAATCATGCCCTACAGGAACTGAGTGATCGATCAAAATTCAATTAATCGACCGGTTAATCGATTGCATTTTTTAATCGATCGACAGCCCCAAAACACACACACACAACCAAGAATTCGATGTCAATTTTGGGAATGGAACTGCCGAAAAGCAAAGAAGCGTTAATATTTCTTCCTCACGATTGCAAATGAAGAGATGGTCAAGGAACGGAACGGAACGAAATTATTTTGTTTTCAGGAGTAAGCAATTTCGTTCCGTTCCGGTTTTTCGTTCCTCTGCCGCCAGTGAATAGCGTTCCATGCTCCGTTCCGTTCCTGTTTTCGTTCCGTTCCGAAGCCCTGGTAATAGGCTTGAAAGCCAGCCTTTCTATGAGAGAGCATACCAGGAAAAGGAGCGGAAGTTGTCCGGAGAGTGGATGCTGTGCTGAGACGTTGGGATGGATGAGAGGATCGGCAATCCCGGCTGCCTTCGCTGCCTCCGCTCCTTGAAGATCGTGGAGGATGGGAAGTCGATCCGATAGAGAGCCATGGGAAGCAGGAATGTCTCAGAGCTTTTAGAAAGGCCCGAAAATTGTATTTATTTATTTTTTTTTATTTGGGGGGGGGTCTCTTTCCCAAATGAGATCCAATTCGGCGATGGGGTCGGGTCAACGGAACTTCGAATGAGCTTAAGCGAAATCACAAAACTCGCGCTTCTTCGAAAAGGAAGCACTAGGTGAGGCAACGAGAGGTCTCATGGGAGATTTTCTAAAGGGAAAATTTTCTCGAAATATTTTGATTGTAGCAGTAAAGAATCAGAAGTCGGTACACAATAGAAATTGTGTACCGTTTCATCGTCTCAAGAGAGAATAGGTTTTAACTAGGTCTCTAACGATGGCCTGATGAAATCGCTTATGAATTCAAATATGCCTAATTGGAAGCCACGTGATACTCATCAGTGGGCCACCTTGAAACGATGCAGACCACTTTTGGTCCTGTCCGGCCTGTCTGTCTCTCTATAAGGCTGTCAGTGGCTAACTTATTACCCATTGCTGCTGTGGAGAGCATTTAGTGACACATCCCTTGCAAAAGCAAAGTGTACATGGAAATGCAATGATTTCCCGTTCTTTACCGCTACATTCCTCCACCGGTTCCTATAACCTGGAACATAATCCGATCGATTGCTGGCAGGAGGGCCTTTCAGCCCTCAAGTACTTTTTTTTTTTCTTCCCGTTCTTTGGGGACCGGCACCGGCGCCACGGGCCGATGGTGCCGATGGTGCCGATAGTGCAGCGCCGGCGGCCGATACCGGTGTTAGCCGATGCATCAGTGCAGCCCTGGTTCTAAGCTGATTCAGCGGCTATCACGCTGGTGCCCTCGGAATAAGTCTCCCGTATTTTTCAGAATGGATATTTTCCCACCTAAATTTCAAGTGAAGGCCTTGGGATTCTCGGATTAAGGAGATAATCCGACGGAAGGAAAGATCCAGGCCCTTCTGCCTGGAAGGATGCGAGGAAACACGCCCAAGATTCAAGTACTCATCCAGGATTCTAATACGGCGAGGGAAATCACAGCCTCCAAGGAGTACTTGCTGGAGTACTTCCAAGCTGTCATTTACATGAACGCATCTTCATTATCAAGGAGGAAGCAATGCCAAGAAGTTGACAATTCAACGCTGGCATAATGAGGCGCAAGAGCGGAATTTCAGCTTTGAACTGCATTTCATTTCATCATTGCGGTAATACACCATTAATGCACCATTAATGCACCATTCCAAAAAAAAAAAAACAGCGGTCCTTCCCTCTCTCCTCGAAACTCCTATTTGTTGTCATGTATCAATATTATATTCTGAATGAAGGGGAACTGAGAGACCTTCCAACCATGAAGAAATCGTTGCGATCGGAATCTCGAGCGATGAACGAAGAAAATGAAGGCATCATCCTTTCAAGCTCGGTGATGCCGCCGTTTTTTCTCGGAACGGTCAAGTAAATTCACCTTTCCACATCTCCACGTAGCGACTCAGATCGCCACGCATAAAATTCAATCCTCGCCCGAGAGATGGCACGACGTCGTCGTTGTACCGAATTGGGGAGCGACTCGGAAGAAAAACTTCAAAATCGAGATCGACGTAGGAGACAATGAACACATTCGTTTTGACGAGAGCGTGCGCCGGTTTGATGACTAGCGACATTTCAGGTGCCAGCTAATAATTTTTTCGAATGCTCCTCTATCGCTAAAAGTGCGAATGCACTGACGAGCCATGACCTGGCCTTACCTGGAAAACGTTGCCTCCGCCTCCCGGTCGGAAGGCTCCACGTCTGCCTTGACGGAACAGGCGCAGGAACACCTGCGCCTGTTCCTGCGCCTGTTTCCCTGCGCCCTAGCGGAAGGAACGGCAGGACCGATGGAGAAGCTGATATGCAGAGATGGTGAGGAGAGAAGCTCGACTCAGAGCCATCAGAATGTGACGAAATTTGCCTCCTTCCGGTGCTTTTCAAGATATTATTCGAAGAGGAGGTCTATGCTATGGCGGAGACTTGTCCATTATGGTCCATAAATGAAAGTCGTGGCAAAGTACATTGAGAGTATATAAATGAATCGATACCCAAGGGAGTGTGGGGGTAAGGGGAGGGGGGGGGAAGTTGTTTATTAGCTTGGGAAGCAGTGAGTGGGGCAGCATAGACTCAATTGCTTCATTTCGCAGTATTCGACTTGCAATTATATGCATCGGGTCTATTTGATTTTATTCTAATGGCTGATGTCTGCGCATCGAAATCTATGGGATCAGTGGACGCGATGGGTCACTTTTATTTCCAATTGGAATTTTCTGTTTTTTGCAAAAATGGGGAAAGAATGTGTCGCAGAAAGTTTTGTCTCGTGCGGATAAATCCTCGTATGTTAGGGAACACGTTGAAAAAACTTCAGCGCTCAATATTCTACAGTTTGGTGCTGTAGCGGTGACAAGCAGACAGACAGACATACGGGGAGGACGGGCGGACAGACAGACAAAGAAAAACATTATGTGCACTTGTCTGTGGAAGTGAAAACTTTTTAGCATGCTCTGAATGTCTGAATGTTTGGTAAGCCTTCAGCTTAACTCACCCATAGTTGAATCATGGTTATCATTACCGTCAACGATGACGGTAATGGTAATAATGTTGATGGTGGAAGCGACAATAATGGATTGGAGGTGATCACATGATCATGAGATGATGATAATGATAATGGTGAAGGTGACAGTCAAGGTAAAGATGGAGTTATTTTTTTATGCTAAGGGAATATCTTTACAAAACGTCCAACCCCCTATCCACCTGATCAAAGAACCAGGTGGATAAGGGGTGGATTTGGAACCAGGTGGATAAGGGGTGAATTTGGAACCAGGTGGATAAGGGGTGGATTTGGAACCAGGTGGACGTCCCCCCCGGTGGAAATCCACCTATCCATTCGCGCACAAGTATTTCGAGACAGGTGGATTTTCCCCCGTGTGGACATCGCTCCAACAGGTGGAAATACTGCCTAGGAGGATATCCACCTGGTTCGAAATCCACATTTGAGGCGGACGTTCTACAAGGCTAGTTTCACCACATTAACACAAAGGAGTGAAATGAATGAAGTTGGAACTCACGTCCTTCACAATCCCCCCCCCCCCCCCCCAACCGCTTTGAACCAAGTTCAAGGCGGGTTCGCCTTTCAAGGCCTTTTCAAGGTTCAAGGCCCGTCCCAGTCCCGAACAGACGGATACGGGGCTGGTGGAGGATCGGAGTCGCATCGAGAGGAGTTGCAGACGAGATCGCCCTCATCCATCGTCTCCCAATTCCCATCCACCAGGCACGTCCGATTCCTCTCCCCGAGTCCAAGATCCGAAAGAAAAACTGCATGCCTTGGGGGCACCTATAGATCACCCTCGTGCCCGCAACGCGGTTTCCATCCCATTCCATACTCGCGACCCCGATGGAACGCTGGGGTCTTCTGTGCAATTCGGTCTCACGCACTCCTCAGTCAGATTCTCCCAGTCTCCCGAACTCAGGCAGCTCTTCTTCAACTCTCCGACGAGATTGCCATTCGTTTGGAAGCGATGGAACTCGGGACATTTGTAGGAGGTGAAATCCCCGATCCCAAACAGTTTCCCAGGCGTCCAATCCCTGTTTCCCCCCGTTGGAAATGGGTCAGGTTCCGCCGTGCAACCGGTGATGACGTCACAGCCCTTGCTCAGCGCCTCCCACACTCTTAGAAAAAGGGGAGCGATTTTTCTCAAAAAAAGAGAGTAAAATTGCTCTCCTCCCGTGAGTAAAAACACTCCCATCAGAAAGTAATAGGAAATCAGAAAGATGTCATGAAAATACGAAAACCCTCATATATATACTGTGCGTCGCTTTCGCTCTCGTACTGGCGTTGATCTACCTCTGACTGTGCTGATTACAGTACACGTCAGAGGGTGAACCACCTCATATAGGTTCCGTGGAGGGTCCGAGATATCAATCCCTTATTACCTCAATTAACTGAGATATATGATTGAATGAAGTTCACGGACACTCTCTGTAATATTCTAGATCTTCTATACGGATAAAACCATAAGCGTTCCAAAAGGGTTCTCAATAAAAATATGAGCTTGTTTATGGCCTGGACTCTATGCATATGTCTTGAATATGTGGATAACAAATGATGAAGAGGCCGTGTTTATTGATTCCTATAATGAGACTCGGCGAGACACATGGCAAGGCACTAAACAATCCTGCGAGGAACGATTCCAGGGAAAGAGGGAAGGGAACTTTTACGTACTGTACGAAAAGCGAGACCCTTACCTCCATCTAGTGGCCTGGCGAAGAACTTCAAGGTGTTCACTTCATTATGAGCGGTGAGGGAGCATTTGGTGAGTAATGAGAGAGTAAATTCGAAAAGCTCACGGTATGCTCACTTTTTACTCCCCAAACGCTCGGAATTTTCTAAGAGTGCACTTCCCGTCTGGGAGGCAGACCTGGGAGGCAACAGGGCTGTTGCCAACTGTTGCGTCTAAGGCGAATCCCGGGTTGCATCGATATTTGGCTTCGCTTCCGACCTCCTTGGAGGTCTCCGTCCATTCGCGGATCTGATTCGCAAGCGGATTGGCAGGGGCATCCGGGCATTGATAAAACGTGCATTCGAAATCCGGGAGACTGCTCCATTCTCCCGAGTCCAGACATTCCAGAGCTGCCTCCACTAACTGGATGTTGTTGAATTGAGACCCTGGTTCGCATGCGTAGGTGGCCTGGCTTCCCGCGAACCGAGTCGGGTCGGACAAGGTCGCGTTGGCATGAGGGACTTGCGGCGGATCTGGACAGTCGAGTGCGCACGTGTCCAACAGGGTTCCATTCCAGGTTCCGTTCACGCAAAAGAACACGTATTCATTCGCTCCGGAACGGAATTTTTAAGGCATCGCGCACACAAATGTCAGGGTCGCTCCCACATCCCAGGGGAGCTAGCCAAAAAATAATGCCAAAATTTGCAAAAATTTTCCACCTCCGAAGAAAGTTTCGCAGTGTGGAGATGAAAATGTCTTACTTTAATTTCCTGCAAAAAAAAAACATTTCAGCATTTTTTTCTGTCAATTCAACTTCATGGTTCAGTGGCCAAACTAATTAAACTAATTAAATCTAAACCTTCAACCGATTCAAACGCTATCAACATTATTCTATTATGATTCAAAAGAAAAAGTTTTGGACGGTTCTGTGCTGATTCTTTTGCGCGACAGGTCCGGGCAACACCGGTCTTCGTTTACTATAATAGTGCAATAATTAAATTTTCCTTTTATCATTGCAATATTATAGTAAATAATTCCCCCTTCATTGCCAGGAGGGTTTTCTTTCATGGTTCTCAAAACAATACAATAATATTTGTGCATTCTGGAATGGCCTTTTTAAATTCAAATTTTAAATTTAAAAACAAAATCTTAAAAGAAGTGCAACTAAGTCCAAATGCTTTAATGCTTTAATGAGTGGAAATAAGTGGGATCAAGAGCATCAATTCCATTTTGCTTTCACATTGAGAAACAAAAGTCAGTTTTTTATTTATTTATTAATTCTCCGTTTTTCCAGTTTTTTTTTAAGGATCTTTTGGTACAAATAGCCGTCTTGATTCCTTTCAATGCTCAGGGTTTCCCAATAAAATAAATATAAACCCCGACACTTCCCATGGTCTCAAAAACTTGAGAATTTTTTTCCATAACGGCTGCGTGACCTGGAGCGAAGTCGGAAGTACTCGGTTCGAGTACTTCCGACAATCTCGCAATTTTTGCTTCTACGTCGACCGAAAAGAGAGACCAAGACGGAATTTAAAATATCGATTCGGTACTTGCGAACGAGATCTCGATGAACTCTCACTTCGGTATCGAGCCGTTTCATCTACTCACACTGTACGGAATGCAACGGCACCGAATGGTGCTTCGCGTCCGAAACGCCAGAAGAGCAATCAAAATCAAGAATCGAAATGGCACTGCTGACTGGACTCGTTTGGGAGTGGGCCTTTGGGATTCGAGTACCTATTCAGTACAGAGAAATGTGCAAGACTAAAAAAAGCCCTCACGTTTTTTTTTTCAGTTTATTTCACGAACCCGTTTTCATTGGGTAGGAGACATGGTTGGTGCTCCAACCGATGGACCCAAGGCGTTTGGCTTCGATCGCTTTTTTCCCGCTCGCGAACGTTATCCCTGCCGCGGGCTTGTAGGATACCGTCGCTCCTTTCGCGCTGGTGCCGTTCGGGTACTCGATGATCAGGTTCGTTCCGTTCACGCTCGGGGGACTCCCGCATTCTGAATCCAGGATTTTTTGGACGCAATTTTATGCAAAAACTCCAGAAGTTTTTTTTTTCAAACATTTTTCCAGATTGCTTTCAAAGTGAGAGAGAATTTCCGATGCAAGAAGGTTCGCGGAAAATCAGTTAAGGCAGCAATTTTTTTCCTAATTATTCGCACTCTGTCCCACATTTCAACTTTTATCTGCTCGAAATTGATACAATCGCCGTCCCCCTTTTCGGGATGGCTCATCCATCAAATTGACACATGCATGCAACGGCCAAGCACGGCCAGCAAGAGAGGGAAATTATAACGGACACTTTGAGCACCTCCTTCGAGGTGCTCAAAGTGTCCTAAATTGCCTTCTCCAAGCGGTGAACGGTTTAAAAAAAATTATGATGGCATTGCGTGTATGCGCTCGTTTCATGTATTAGTCCTCTAAAGCACGCAGAGATCGTCTGAACCTATTGCGACCAGTTACGGATTTTAAAATGGTTTTTAAAGTTTTTAATATTTAAAATTTTTTAAATTTTTGGGACAGAGCGAAAATGTCGATGCTGACATAAAGGAAAAAAAAGGAAATCACTGAGATTTCGACGACGAAAAATGTCACACGAAATGTTTGTGAAATTCCTCCAAACTTGAATTATTTTTCCTTGCGACTTCAAACGCCTCTCCTCTCTGGAATTCAAGAAACGAATTCAAATCGAATGCGCTTCCGCGAGTTCTGGAGAAGAATTGCACATTCTCCGGTTTCAAAATTTTTTCCTTGGAATTCAGTGTCAATTTTATTAATTTGCTGGACCGTGAAGGACTCACGAAACTCATGATGCATGAAAGGATAAATAAAAGGATGCATGAAAGGACCAATCACAAGCAGTCGTTCCAAATTCCTATCAAATTCCTATTGTGCCTTTTTTTCCCTCGCACCTTGATCTGTGCAATTTTACTCAGTCCTTTAAATTTTGCATTTTCGTACGACACAATCATTACCAAAAGCGACAGCAGAATTCGGTATTTACACTGAGTTCCAGAAAACTGTGCCAATTCGTTTTTTTTTCAATACTTCATTAAGTGCATGTGGATGAAAGGTTTCCGCCAAATTTGAAGGAAATTGCCACACTGTACCAAACTCTCATGATAAGAAAAATCCCCGGAGGAGCGCCATCGATGGAGCAATTCAGGAATCGCGACAGCGGCTGCATGCTTGCGCCCGAGAACGCGGGCGCCATGTGGAGCATATTCTGCCGCAAAAATTTCTACATTTGCTTCAAATTCGGCGGAAACCTTCCTTCATTCATCCACATTCAGTAGTAAATAAAAATCAGATGAAGCTTACTATCTCCGTCATGAAAACATATTGCAATTTCTTTTTTATATCCCCTTGCTAAAAGAAACTGCTAAATTTTCATAGGCACATGTACCACACACGAATTTGCCCAAAAAAATTTACTCATCAAAATAGGCTCCGAAGGGAAGATACCCAGCCCTCGGCACAGAGCGCGATGCTACTCCTGAATTTTCTCCTAATTAGGTAAAATCGATAATTTAAAAAATCGGCTGCCATTATTAGCGAAAATGATTCGGCACGGTTCGTTTTTAACACCGTGAAGGAGAAAAGAACAAAAGAGGCATTGTTCTAACCGGATGGAAGAAAATCAGGGTATCAATTCCTCATCGGGCTGATCCGCATGCATTTTTTAAAGGCGACCACCCGCCATTGTCCACCGAAAACAATAGAAAACATCGCTGCGGAACCGAACAAGGTCGCCCGGTCGCCCACCTTGGGTCGCGTTGAGGTCGCAGACAGGTCGCATAATTCTATGGCAGACGACGTCGACCAATTTCTTGTTGACGACGGAGAGGCAGAGTTCCTTGTTCTTCATGAAATTATCAGGCTCGCTGAATAACCAGTCGCCCTCGGGGATCTCCCAGGCGTCCCGCAAGATCGATCGCAGGATCGTCTTGTCGTGAAGATCGCTGCGATCCGCGAGAGGCGTTTTAGACAATTTTTCCGACGGATTCACACGACACTCGCAACTTCGACTTGCATATTACCCATTAAGAAAATTTTCCCAACTTTTTTATTTATGAAACTTTTAAGCTACGTTTCTTGTCTCCTTTATTTTTTTGTACAGCTTTTTAGGTGCAAAATATAAAAAAGCAGACATTTAAAATAAATTAAGCTGAAAGTGGCGCTGCAGTGTTCAAAGAATTCCCCCAAATGCTTCAAATGAGTACATCCTGAAAAAAAAAATTACTTTCATTCCAAGGGATAGACGACGTTATATTGAGTCCCTCTCTGCAATTAATAATTATTATTATGTAATATTTATTTTTTATATTGAATATGGAAGCCCATCCGACCTCTGAGACGAAGTTGCCCAGATACGCCCAGTGGTTCTTGGGGACGAGGCCTGCCTGCGACCTGGACGTCCGCGACCAGGGTATGGGAACCTGGCCTGGGAACCGAGCGTTTCCTCGCACTTCGCCTGGCCTTCCCACGGATTCGCTGCCTTCACTTGAACCGCCTTCAGGCTGCTCGCCGACAACGCCGAGCCGCCTCGAATCCCTGAGTGACGCACATTCCCATCCATCTACATCCATTGACATCCATCGACACCAGCGGTGTTGAAACCGGGGCCCGCGGGCCGCATGCGGCCCTTTATCATGTCCTAAAAATTGACTTCCTCCAGTCGGTGTTAAGACATTCGTGTAATTGAGATGTTTATTATTATATGTTTATGCATTCAAGCGTGATTCTGCCTAAAATTTAAAGAATTCAAATACTGCTAAGATAAATGCCTTTATCTTCGAAATAATCGAAAAATTTGCAGGCTTTTTCGATGCGGCCCAATCGAAGTGAACCAAAGTATCAGTGTGGCCCTAACCCAGAGAGGTTTGGGGACCATTGATCTGCACAATGACAATGCTGTGCAAAAAATCAGGTTTCTGTAATCACCGTCTTTAAGAAAATTCGGCTTCCACCACTCCCTTGTCAATGGACCGAAAAAATATTGATCGTCTTCCTCAGATGAAAATCGACCAAAGCCCTTGTACCACATTGATTCAATGTGGTACAAGGGCTTTGGTTTTTGGAGGGTTTGTGCAGAACTGCTTTCCTTACGATATCCCATACTTTCAAATTTTGTATATTATTGTTAATAATATAATTTGTTCAGTCTTCAAAAACTTAGGTGTGTCAACGAGTTTGGGACATTTTCCCTTTCGAATCGGATAATCATTAATTTCCTCTTTTTGAGAAAATCTTACACGCAAATGATTTATTATTTCGTTTTTATTTTATGAAGATACCAGCATAAATTTATAAGTATAAAATGGAAGAAGTCAAGTAAATATGATACCGTTTCAGCTCCACCAAAACTGTTACCATACCGGTTAAGTATATTTCTCATTGAATTGCAAGTTACGAGTGCCTTCCCGTTGCATTTTGGCTGAAATGTGCAGAAAAGGATTTGGATCCTGGCGTCCAACTTCATGATTGCAAAATCGTTTTTTCCTTTCTTTTCTTTTTTTCTTTTCAAATTTCAAGATTTTCAGCGATTTTGCGAAATAAGTACGACCACAATCCGAATTTAAAAATCAAATTTATTGGTTGAATATTGAGCAATTGAATGGCAATGAGCAATTAAATAATTACAAATGTCCCAGGTACGGGGCCAGGATTAATCGAAATGTACAAAGACGCAAAAAAAATAGACACTTGGGGAAATTTATTTCATTTTGCCTGATCTATTCATTTACCGATTAGTCTACCGTCAGCAAACTCGACAAACTGCTTGCTTTCGGCTTGAACCAGGCCGAAGCACTTTGCTAACATTGGGCAGTAGTTGGCACAATGATTTTTTATGTCTGGGAATCGCTTTTCAAGGCGAACGGGCAAAGCCCATCCTAATGCGGGAAAAAATTGCAAGGCAAAGGAGGCAGAAGGAACCTACCGAGGAAGAGAAGAGCGAAGAGAGCAGACGCGGGGGACGCGGCCACATGGTAGGCAGGAGTCTTCTCTCCCACTGAGCTTTCCGAGGCATCGCCCGAGCGGCATATTCCATGTCGCCAGGGGACGGGGGGGGGGGGGGGGCGTACTCGAAGCAAGGCGTTTTTCACACCTCAGTTTCTTCGTGTTTCTATCGCAGGCCAGGGACAGAATGAATGGATGATTCAAGTCAAGAAAATGTCATGCATCTCAGAATCTGAGGAGGCCTGTTGCATGGCAAGTCGTGTCGAGTTTGTCTCGGGGAATTACCGCTGTGAGGGGGATCCTGAAGTCATCACTGCACGAATCTCTCGGCAAAAGGAGCAGACCAACATTTAAATTTGATCAACGTTTGGCGGGTAGTTAGCGCAAGTTTTTGTACAGTTGACACCGAATTTGTTTGTCTTTGTAACGAAAACTTGGCTTTAAGCGAAATCTGCTTGATTGGCATTTTTTCTAGATGGAGAGGATGAAGAGAACCGAACCGAAAGTGCAAAAAATGGAAAATAGACTGTTTAGCATCCCGAAGACAAACTTTCGGTCCATAAAAATGTATTCCCTTCCGTTTTCTCCGTTTCCTTCAGGAAATTGTTGCTCTTTACCGCCGTGTTTTCCTCAACCTCGCAATTTCTCGAACAGGTGTGAATCGGCCGTAACCGTCTGGATGGTTCTTTCGATGGAAAAACCGTGTATGATTTCCACCGCGATAATTCCCGCCAATCATTCATGTTCTAGAATCTAGTAAAGACTTCGCCTGCTTAAAAAATTGGAAGAGGAGGAGGCGAACGATTTTCGCTGATTTTCTCCTCGGGGATCGTTTGTCAGGTTGGTGAAACGGAAACTAATCTAATTTCGCAAATGAAATCGTTTGGGCTCCATTCCCATGAACTGATACCTGTCACCATATCATCTGGAAGGCTTGAATCACTCCAGGGAATATTGCAAAGAGGATTCGAAGCGGATCGAAGTCATTTCTCAATGTCGAACCGGGAAAAAAAATGTTTTCGCCTTCGATATTATTTTCCTCCTTCGGCGCTCCTGATGTGAAGATGAATTCCTCGAGGGGCCAGAATAGAATTTATTTAGTATGTAAGGTCTATATGCAGTTCGTGCTTCTGGCTGATCCATATCTACAGTGAAAGAAATTTCTCATGCAAATGATTTGTGACCCTCTCATCCCTGATGGGAAACCAAAGCTGAATCAGCTTCGAGGGATTTGCTTTTCCTCGCAGAATAGTATGCGGAGATTCGTCGAGAAGCACCAGGATTTCCGCCTGAGATCGATGAGACAGCTTTCGAAGCAAAGCTACTTGGGGGGGTCATTGCGCCATAAAGCGATGAAAGCATTTTGGGGGCGAGAGAGAAACATGACGTGTGGGTCTATGCAGGAATCCTCCACGGATCCTTAAAGAGGGAGAAAGCTGAGTCTGTAATAAGCGCGAAAGTTAGCGCCTGCCCTTCTATGAGTGAGCATACCCGGAAATGGAGGAGCGGAAGTCGCCCCTGGAGTGGACGCCGTGCCGCTGGGTCGTTGGGATGCATGGGCGGGTCTGCAACACAGGCTGCGCATGTTCTCCTTCCGCTCCATGCAGATCGCAGGGAAGGGGAAGCGGAGACTTTTGTGCCGGCGGGGGGTGATGGGAAGCGGGAATTTCTCCGCCCTTAAAATGCGCCGGAACTTTGCTTTCTACTCTTTTTTTCGCATCATCTTCCGAGAGGGGATCGATTTTTGCGGTGGGAAAGAGTGGTACAGAAGTGGGCAGTTGTGTCCAGAAACTTCGAAAGAGCCAATAAGGAATAATATAGTCGGCGATTTTGTTAATTCAGAAACTCAGGAGTCTAGAAAACTTTCCCCTTTGAAATTTTCTCGAATGTTTGGTCCAATGGAATTCCTTCTTGAAATCCCACGACTCGAGATTAAATGGAAGCAAGATGGATAAGATAAGATAAGGATAAGAACCCGAGTGACAAAAGCCTCGATCATGATTAAGACGCGACGATTAAGACGACGACGGCAATGAACCGGCAATGAATCGACCAACGAAATTTCTCTATAATAATTTTTATTCTTGGAACGGTTCAATTGTACGTACGTCACAGAAAAAAACAGCATGATCCGAGATTCCAAAATGTCTAACATATCACAGCGTCTCAGAAGGAGGAAGCTTGCTAATAACGGATGCTAAAAGTCAATCGGCCGTGCCTCTGTCTATTCCACGTGACAATACCGGTATTTAATAGTAAGGCACTATTTCTACGAGTATGGAAAAATCTCCCGAGTCTATTTCTGCGTGCAAATTCTACATGCAAATTCGGGGAGGAAATTCAGCGTCTCCGAGTCATCACAGCTTCGGTCTCCTCTCAGGGGAGCAGCTCCAAGTTCCCCTCTTATCAAAAACCGGAATCTTGCCAAAAAAAATCTGGCGTGTTTGTGCGAGAGATTCCAGTCGAAAGTGTCTGATTTCGCCTCACGAGGGAACTAGAAGCGAAAGTTGACTTCAGGTGGGCCAGTATTCCATCCCACGTTTCATGATGGGCAGGATGACGAGGAATGTGGAGCTGGAAGCGATGGTAAGAGTGAGAAAAATCCAGAAAAAAATGCGATCGAGCATCGCTGCGGCCAGTCTCCACTCCTTCTCGATTTTCTTCCTCTCGTCTTCCTCCTCGTACTTCTTCAGCAACAGTTGGACCATCTTCTCCAGGTTGTCCGGGGGGCGAGCGGATGAGGACACCCTGGAGGCGTGGATGCAAGCGGAAGATACTGCCGCGGCCCCGTCCGGATTCGTTCTGGGTCGGAGTCCGCTGCCCGAACAGGGCTCTATCAGGCCGTGCAAGCTGTCGTGGGAAGCGGAGTGAGGCGGCGGCGGAGGCGGCGGGAGGTACATGTCGTTGAACTGGTGACGGCGTCTCAGGACCAGGCACTCCTGCCCGCACGCGCATCCCTCCCTCCCCAGCATATTATGGTAGAGGGCGCTAGTAGGGGCCGTGGAGGATGGAGGCTGGTGGGGCCTCTCAGGCGCCACGGTGTGCTTGTTGGCGCTCGCATTCGCCGGTGCCTGCTGCTGCGGCTGAGGCTGGTAGTATTCCTGTTGGCGATCCTCCTCCCTCACCAATATGCTGTTGAGGGAAACGATCAACAATCAATAATTACGGCTCTAATTACTCTTTGTTGACACTTTAATTCTATATTCTTCAATTTTAATAGAATTTAAATCCTCAAATAGAATATTCATACTGGATAGAGTGCATACAGAAGGACGAGGGGCGATCCAAAAGTTTCTGCCACGAGTTATAAAGGAATCGATAGACTGATAAGAAAAAAATTATATTTAACCTCCCTGGACATCACTATTGATGGGACAGGGCTTCGATTTTGGGGGTAAATTCATTTGCGACAGTCGTCTAAAATTCCTCGGACAGCTTCACGGAAAGTTTTGCTTAAAAATATTTGGAATTTAATGGGCTGCTTTTTTTGTTGTTGTTGGGATCAATAAATTGAGTGAATGCTTTCATGAATAATGAAATTTGCATAGCTGCCCCGTATTAAAATTTTGCCATTTTGGAATGGGATAAAATTTGGCTGGAACATTTTTAAAATACGCGAATCATCATTAAGTGGATAAATATTTAACAATTGTTCCTGAAATTACCGCGAAAAAAACGATCTCCGATCATTTCTCAGGGCAGAAAGTTTCTGGATCGCGCTTCGAATTTTAGAAATGATTTTAAATTTATTTTGTAACAGTCAATCTTCAGCTAAGCTATTGCTTTCGCCAGTTCAGTATAATTTATTCATGAAAACAAATTAATTTGATCTGATGTCATTAATGTCTTAGAATCGTTGCGCCCTTAAGTCCATAATTAATTGCCGTCCTTAATGAACTTCCTCCGTTAATTCGTCGCCTCAAGTTCCTCGTTTTTCTTATTTTCCTCATTTTCGCAGTTTAGAAGTCGATTATGATTTCACAAATTCGTTATCAGTTCTCATCAATTCCTTATTGTTATCGTCAGCGTTGCAATATACTCAAGTACTTCTTTGGCACTCCGCATGACACTGCCTTATTTCGATGGTCCTTGCTTTATCAAAACAGGCGAAAAGGGGGCCCATAGGGACCCTAAAGCATTAAGTCCCATTAGCCCTCAGAGGAAACGCCCAAGAAATTCGAAACGGCACGGATGATCCGAAACGGTATCAGGTACTTCCATTTTCCCTTGCAAGAAATCCGTGCGGAAATTCCAACTACTATCTCAGGAAGTGACACCTACGAGGAATCTCGTATTCAACTTCAGGAATGAAACGTCTTCCCTATTTTAATCGTTACCATGGAAATGAAGCGACCCGAGGAGACGATTGCCCCCCCTGCCCCCCCTGCCCCCCCTGCCCCCCCCTGCCCCCCTCAGACATACCGACGAAGCCAATGCGGCAGCTGCGTCTTGCTCGGTCCCCTGTAGTGCAGATTCAGCACGATCACCGTCATCAAGACCGAGATGGACGTGATGGCCATCACCGCCGTCAAGTAAATCCCTGAAAGGCGCATCAAGGTCTCGTGTCCTTTATACATACCTCATATATTCATAGCAAATAGCCGTGATTTCGTACCCATTCACCCATAATCGATACGGCATTCCAAAGGATTAAGGATGAGCGGTTTATCCTGAATAGAAATGGCTTAGCAAGACGATTCCTATCTGAGTTCTTCCCATCGATCATGATTATCGGAGACGCGCGCGTCAAAAAGACAACTCGGATTTGTCTGTTGCCATGAGCAACCATCAGCTAAATATACATTTCCAGGAACCGAAGGCGATTCCAGATTACTCAAGTAAGGCATTACCAGCGAGGGATTACTTTATTTTGATGAGCTCCTTCGAGGAAGCGTGCGCACGTCTGTTCAAGAGGATGGGGCGCAAATCGATGGGGGAATTATGATTTCATAATGAATGATAATGAGGGGAATGAACCGATGAGGGGGACGCTCTCGGAGGTCTCCGGCATCTTCTCGGCGATGGCGAGCATGAAGACGGAGAAGGCGAGGAGGACGGTGACGCCGAGGGCGATCTTCTCCCCGGAGTCCGGCGGGAGGCAGAACACCAGCAGGGTCAGCACGCTCATCATGATGCCTGGGGGGTGAGTGAGAGACGCTCTCAATTCCTGGGAAGAGCCGAATGACGTCAGCGCGGGCCAGCCGTCTGATTGGTCGACTCTCGGCGAGACCGAGCGACGTCCGCGTGGATCACGCTCCGATTGGTCACATCCACTTCCGAAGCGACCAATCACACGGCGCATCGCCTCGCTTACGTCATTTCAAACTTTATCCACTTTAAGGATGCATCCAAACCTCCAGCAAGGAGGCACTTACACGGCAGGACGACGTTGTACATGTAGTAGAGCGTCTTCCGGCGGATGACCAGCGTGATGGTGACGTCCGGGAACGGCTCCCGGCAGCAGGAATAATAGATCTCGTTCCGGGTCATGAACCCCTGCAAGAGTTCCCACTCTCCGTTCGGGATGTAGTTGCTCAAATCCACTTCGGCCAGTCGATTCGTCACGTTCACCTTCGACAGAGGAAATTGAAATTTTGAGGCGGAGGGAAAGCGTATCACCATGAAATGGATACGTGAGGGGAATCCTCGATTCCCCATTCCCTCGATTCCCCATTCCCTCGATTCCCCCATTCCCTCCCTTTCCGTCGATGGGCTGTGGATCGACTTCGTTTTACGCCTCCGCGGCAGATTTCATTCTTCGCCGACAGATTTCATGCAGAGAAATTTTTCACATCGACCGATCGTCGATGGGCTTTCGCCGACAGTCGCCCCTTCATTTCCCTGCGAAATCTCCATTCGAGGGCCTCTCACAGTCCGTTTGCCAATGTTCTCCGGCGTTTTTTTTTTCGGTCCACATCGCTGCCCCGGAAGAAAAAGGAGGGCCAATTCTTTCCCTGCCCCTTCCGTGCCATTTGAGCACAAATCGGGAAGTGATCGAAGCGATCTTCAAGATCCCTCTCGTGGCCATCAATCCCTTCTCGAAGGACATGAGCAAAGGACATAATCTCTCAGGGGAAAAAAAAAGGAAAAGGAGTATGTGCGGCCACTTCCGGTTCCCCCAGCCATTAAAATGGCTGTAATGACCCCATGGATCAAGTGTTTCGAGCGCGTTTCTTCCCCCCATATCCGGAGGATGGAGTGCATGAATCCCAAGGATGGGGTACATGAATCCCAAGGACGGAGTGTATGAACCCCCAGATGAAGTACCCAAAATGCCCCATTTCTCCCCCTTTATTCCCCCTCCCCTCGCAATAGAAAACCTGAATGCGAAGAAGATATTTTTAATTACGAGCCCGAGAATGAGCCGGGAGGGGAAGAGAGTCTCTCATTTCCCTCCTCCCTTTAATCAACCCCCCCCCCCCCCCCCCTCCCCCCAGGATGATCCTCCCCCCACCTCGAACCCGTTGTAGGCCCAGGACCCCAGCTTGAGCGTGCAGTTCTGGTCGTCGAACGGGAAGTACGTGACATCCACCGGGCAAGCCGAGCGGAACTTGGTCGGCGGCGGCCAGAAGACTTGCCCCCAGTGCTTGATCATCGCCTTGCTGTTGTAATAGCCTCGCGTGTAGTCGTCGGCGCTGCAAGGATGGAAAGGCATTAAGCATGCGTCACACTTGCATAACACTTGCGTTACATTTGCATAACACTTGCGTTACATTTGCATAACACTTGCGTAACATTTGCATAACACTTGCGTTACATTTGCATAACACTTGCGTTACATTTGCATAACACTTGCGTTACATTTGCACAACACTTGCGTTACATTTGTGTTGCACTCACGCTACACTTGAATTAATCTATTCGATTTAGTTGCAATATTTCTTTTGTTTAATGGAGCTGTTCTGTTGGAAAGAATTGTCTCGGGTGAAAGGTGCTCGGATAGCGAATGAACATGCACGAAAAACCTGATCAATACGGTCTCTCTAGCTACCTTATGGGCTCTCGGGTAAATGGGACTAAGAGAATAAGACCTAATGGGATTTCTGCGAAGAATGGAGGGTGGAGAGGACCAGCTCGCCTCAACGTCCTTGAGCCAGTCATTAAAAAGTCCTTAATGATCAATACGATTCCTTGAAGCTTCTCCCTCGCAACGCAGGGGGCGGTTCCATTGTCCCTGTTCATTCAGGATTTTTATTTATTTGTTCGGAAGTCTGAACGCGGTTGGGTTTTCGAGGTCTGCCACAGGTCTGATGCAATTCTGTTTCAGGTCTGCTTGCTCTGATACTGCCTTTAGCCATCATCAAATTTTTATGAAGTCCATTCATTATGAGATTAGAAAACGAGCTTAAACGCCAGGAGAGCCGACGTTTAAAGCTGCGGCTGTGTTTCACTCCGATTTGTATGTTTTCAGATTCGGTACTAAGAGTATTCGGCTCGTTGGTCTAGGGGTATGATTCTCGCTTCGGGTGCGAGAGGTCCCGGGTTCAATTCCCGGACGAGCCCGAGCTTTTTTTTTCGTCTTTTCCTTGTCTCCCAATGATTAAATGGATCGTTTTCTTCGTGTTATTCGGTTTCCCTGATAATTGTTTCTTCGGCTTCATCATGTTTCCCGGACTCTCGTTTCCCTGTCTCATTCTTCTGTCTTATTCTTCTGTCTTGCTTGTTTCTTGCTTGTTTCTTTCTTGTTTCATTCTTGTTTTATTCTTGTTTCTTTGGAGAAACAACTAGTACTGAAGAGGAAGTCCTGGTCCTTTGTCTCCCGCGATTGTCCTTGCCCCGCGTCGCAGAAAAGGATCATCAGGACCGAAGGTCGCGGGACGAGACAGACATATTAATGGCACGGAATGGCATAAGCCGAATAATGGCACAAGCCGAATGGCACTAGCCGCGTACCATTAAAAGGACTTCCCCTCGGTCATCCCATGCATCATCTGCTTCCATCATCAATCAAGGAAATTTCCTCCCGCGACAGAGACGGGCGCCATGCCCTTTCGACATTGTCCCATGGAATTTTCTGCTTCGTTAATTGCAAGGGCAATTCCAGGTTCTCCTGGAATTTTCGGAGTAATTTCAGAATTTCAGGGTGATTCCAGGAGAATTTCAGGGCAATTTCAGGATTTCAGAGCAATTTCGGGATTTCAGGGTAATTTCAGTAGAAATTTATTTGAAGTGCCAACTCCTTTTCTGCCAATTTCAGCTGGAAGAGATTAGAATCAGGACCGGAAATGGGATTTTGCGAGACCAATTTCCGATAAAATCGTGAGGGCAATTCAAAGATTGTCCTCGAATGTGACCAGTTGAAGCGGAGAAAGATATTTGGTATCAATTGGACCTCAATTATTTCCCCCTTGTCCCCGTCCCTTTAGAAAGGAGGCAAAACGTGTCCGGAGTTCCGGATCGGGGGACAAAACGACCGGATGGGAATCCTGCCAGAAAAGGGAACCCTCACTAACGGATTATCCCCTCCTGAGGATTGTCCATCCACGTACTTGTCGGATCCCATTTTAGGTCTGATTTCTCCTGAGTTTTTTTCCCATTTGTCGCAGCAGGATTAAGGATTAAGATTATTCTGGATTTCGATTATTTATAACGGAGGCTGTTCGGAATGATTCCTTGCAAACGTTGCAAAATGCACTTGTTTGCTGCTTAATGAGAGGAATTTTCCACTAAGCCCACCTGCAAGCCCACCTGCAACCCCACCTGCACGCCCACCTTCCGCCTGGCGCTTCAGCACCAAACTCTCTTTTTGGAACGGATTTTCCAGACAAAAAGTTTCTCAGTTTGGCTCGTTTTTTTTCTCAGGGATAAAATCAGCGCTCCTGTAGGACAAAATGACGTCATCGATGACGTCATCAACTACGCCTCAGAGTGGGACGAAGGATGTCCAGCCCAGTTCACTTTCGCGCTCGTCAGCATCCCGAAATCCGTTCTTTCCCCCGATTTCGCAAAAATTCTACCAAATACTTTATTGCCTGGAAATGATGCTTTCAGATCTATCGAAGACTGTTAATCAATCAATCAATCGTTGAATTGACCAAGCAATTGATCAATCTTCGTTTACCCAACAGTCTCCTTGGATGAACCTTAAATTTTTTTTTCTTCCTTTCTCTTTGAGCATTATGATTCCGACGGAAAGTCCGGAAATCCTGACATGCCATTACCGGCATGCCAATGCAGACATGCCATTACAGGGTTTTCGGAGAGAAACGAAGCCAGTACCATTTTTTCAAGTACTGACGTGGAATTGACGTGTCATCGCATTCCTCATTTGGGGAATTCGGTCGATCGGCTTCCGAGGGGATTCGAAAGTCCTTGAATTATCTTCCATTTCCATTCAAGGACAGCCGGGAGCCACTTCTCATAATGAGAATCGGAGGAGGAATCCGTCTCAGGCAAATTACCAACGATTTCATATTCTAAATCGAATTTCAGCTCTATTATTTTCCTTTAAATATTTTTTTTACATTTAAATTTATTTCGTCCATTTTAAAAAAGTATGCCTGATTTATTTTAAAATTAAATTTACTGATATGTTAACATTTGAAATACCGCTCACTTATTGTAGAGGACGATGTCGGGGAGCCAGATCTTCTCGCAGGGGAGCCGGATCTGCGTCAAGTTGTTAAAATCCGCTGGGTCCCATGTCATCAGCTCGTCCTCCCATTCCTGGGGAAAAAGGGGGAGGTTGGGCGACTTAAAAGGGTAATTTCCTGCCGATAAACAGCTTCAAATTCTCGCCATGTGGAAAAAATTGGCCAATCTGCCAAAATTGTCAAAGCCACCAAAATTGCCGAAAAACGCAAAAAATTGTAATTTCCTAAATTCCCCCGTGTCTCCAATATTGCCAAAATTGACCTTTATTCAGTGTCCTCCTCCTCGACTTCAAAGCTGTAACGAAAAAGTGGCGCTAGCGGGAAGTTCCCTTAACCCGGAACCCGGAAGTGGCCCGAATGAACCCAAATCGAGTTAATCCACTAACAGGCCAATGCTTCCGTATTGGCCTGTGAGTGCGAGGCCCGCTCAATCTTAAGGCTTAAAATGTCATCGCAAAAACCATCGGCAAAAAATTTTTACACGTTGATTTCATGCATGATTCATGGAGATCCAGTTCATCCCGTATTTTTCCATGAAATATTCATGCTCCTTCCCGTTGCCATGGCAACCAGAGTTCCCGGAGCAGGTGAATCAAAAGTGAATGAGCAGACGCCAAGCGGAACTTAAGGTCAAGGTTGACCGTGCGAAAGGAGAGAAAAAGGGGGAATCAATGGGATCACATGGGCCATTTCCCTTCCTCGCATATCGGCTTCATCCGCTCCTCTTAAGCTCCTCTTAAGCTTCTCTTAAGCTTCTCATGGGCTTCTCATTCTTTTCTTCCTCTTTTTCTCCTGGAGAGCTGTCGGGAGTTTGCCGAAAAAATTCGCTTGGGCACAATGGAGCCTGTCCTTGAGTCTTTGACCTTGAGTCCTAGTCCTTGAATGCTTACAACCCGTTGAATTAAATGACATCGCGCAACCCTGCAAACAGGGTTGTTTGCTGAGGGGATCAGACGATCCCCAAAACTAAAAAAGTCAGAGTAAAAAACGTGGAAATGTCCTCAAAATTTTGCCGTCATGGCAGATCGTGACGGCAACGATTGAACGCAACTGTTGCCAACTGCCGCAGGTTGAAAGCAGCTGGCAACAGTTGCCGACATTCGCTGTGGAGACAGAGACAATTCAGATTAATGTGCTTTCAAGCCATTCTGCAGATTTTCGCGCGGAATATCTCTGTTCAAGAGTTTCATCCGATTTTTTAAATAGGGATTTCGAGTAACCACGGTCAGCTTGTGATTTCCGTAACTGCAGATGCTTTTATTTCATAGGCATATTATACGTATTATTCAGGCTATTTAATTATTTTTCGTTTTGAGCAATATTATTTCATTTCGATGTTATTTCGCAATTTCGTTTTAATTTTTTTTACGTTGTTTCATAATTTCATGTTATTTTGTTATTTTAATATTATAAAGCTTTTTTTAAATTTTACTTTACGTGGTATGTTGAGCGATATTTGGAAGGAAAATCTTTCCGACCTCCAGAAGGGACTTTCTGGCATCCAAAGGAAAACTGTCTGACATCCAAAGGAAAACTGTCTGACATCCAAAAGACACTGACCTGATCCAGCCAGACGTTCGTCGTCAGGACTTGGTTCTTCTCGTCCTGAGAGAAAAATAATAATTAGTGAAAAAAAAAACGAAGTCAGCACGAATCGACCTCGATACGGCAGGCAATTCAAAGACCTTGATACGACAGGGCAATTGAAAGGACCAGTCCTGATTCGTCGGGCAAAGGCAATCTCCATAATGGACTCGAACGTCCCGCAACTACGCGGGGAGTTATGAGGGGCGTAACTCATTTTAATGCTCTGAAGACAGTCTCCAGTTTCCCGGAGGCTGCCTTTGATATACTGGCTCCATTGTAATATGGCCGTTACGCATATTGGCGATTTTTTATATAAATATGTCTGATCCATCTCTCGTGCCCTTGGGGGGATTTCATATAGGAATCTAATTTTAACATTTGGGAGGGAGGAGGGAGGGAGGAGGGGGGGAGGGAGGGAGGGGGAAGCATATCCCTCATATGATCTGGAGGTTCCTGGAACTTCGAAATGGGACATTATTAAAGTGACAATATTCAAGGTGACGTCGGTCTCGATCAGAACTCCGGTTCGAAGGTTTCACAAGAAACAGTTAATTTGGTCTGCCGAAATCGCTTTAATGCTTTGGGACGGCTTAAGTTCACAAAAACTTTCACATTTTAACAAAATTAATGTTATTTACCGCCGGGAAGAGTAGGGAACGCAACTACAGAAATAATTTCCCACTTCTCCTTGTTTTTTCTTCGCTATTCCTCATTAATCTTCGTTATTCCTCTCTAATTCTTTTTTATTCGCTATTCGTCACTTTGCTTCATTCACATTCGTTATTCCTCACTACTCCTCAATAGCATCCCCTATTCCTCACTCATCCTCACTCATCCTCACTAACCCTCACTCACACACTCATCCTCACGCACACACTCACCATATCGAAGATCTGGGTGAGCGTGATGCCGAGCTTGATTTGGATGGGCCTCGAGGCGTTCCGGACCGGCCGGACGTCCCGGTCGTAGCCCCGCATGAGGTAGTCCAGCAGCCGCTTCTCGTCGTTCTCGCGGAGGCGCGGGTCCGTGTCCGGCGATTTTTGCACTGCACTCTCGCTATTTCCTTCTGCAAAAAAACGTGATGACGGGGGATGTGTTAGTCATGCCGATTTGCCAATTTTCACACAGTCCGAGTTTTGCAAGAACAGCAGTTTTTCTCTCGTTTCTGCGGAAAAAAAAATTGGCAGCAGTTGAAGATTCTCCCCAGAAGGAGATCCTTTTTGGCACAGAATGTTAATGGCAAAGAGTGCGAATGGCACAGGGTGTGAATGGCGCAGCTCGCCTTTCAATGAATTATTATGTCAGGCGAGTCCTCTTCCCAGAAGCCTTTTAAATTTTTAGTTATTTAGAATTGCAAATAAAACATATTTTGTCATTCCAACCAGGTGAAAAACTGCACCTCATTTCCGCGGTGTACCACTTAAAAAAAAAACTCTTTGGAGTGGAAGCAGTCCTCCCATCACCCCCAATCGCCAGTCCTCCCACGAGGAAGAACGCTCGCGCAGATTCGTCTTCCCTGCACATCTGTGCAGTTCCCCCCTCGTTCGTCCAAGTTTAACCGCTTTTCCATTAATCTTTGCCTGAAGGGTCTTCTGGCAGGTTGAAAGAGGGGAGAAACTCTTTTTTTTCAGTTGCAGCCACCGAGGCGGAATGGCGAAAAGACGAAATTTGCACGGACGCGCAAATTCCTCACCGTGCAGTTCCAACATTCCGCCGAGGAAACCGGTCAGAATCCAAATTTGGATCCATACTCAGATGGCTAACTCCGACATGAAAAGGAGGAGTGTTGATCACGAAAGGATGAATTACTAAATGAATTACTAAATGAATGAATGAATTAATTAATATATGAATTACTAAAAAAATGTAAATATTACTAAATAAATGCATGAAACACCACAGGAAAGAGCGAATGAACGAACCCATGAATGAATGAATCAATCAATGAGTGATTGAATGAGTGAATCATTCAATCAATCAATGAGTGAATGTTTTTACAAATCAATAATCGAACGATGAGTGAACCAACGAGCGAACGAATGCCGCTGTCGAAGCCCTCGAGAGAAGCGTTGTCGAAGCACTCGGGGAAGCGACTTCGATTAGTGGGGTGACAGGTGGCATCGATCTCCTGCTTAATGTCGGCGAGGCCCTCATCCTATGCCAGAGACATCTCGTGATGTTTCAGCAAACCGAAGGAATTTTTTTGCGAGGGGTGTCCGTTGGTAGTACTTTTGTACTAGTACTTTTTTGTATTAGTACTTTTGCCGTTTGGGCTGATTTTTTTTTGTTGCTTTATTTACTTTTCGATGCTTTCCGCATTTGCTTAGTATTAATAGTTGGCACATCTCATTTGCTTGGAACAAGTCAGTTATTCGCGGAAAGTACCATCAAGCACTAGCAGTACCGGCACAGAGAAGGAATGTTCTGAGGACAAATCGCTCAGCTTAGCGAATTCATACAGCTTCTGCTATTCGGTAGTTCATGAAGGTGTAAGTACACTCGTCGCAAGTACTTTCAATACCTTCCTAATTCTCTCAGACTGCCCAACGATCATCGGCCATTATTGCCGAATGGACCGTTATGGTGGACCTCAGCAAAGGAATGCCACGTGCCGATTCCAGATCCGAACTGGATGAGGGCCTCGCCGACATTAAGCAGGAGATCGATGCCACCTGTCACCCCACTAATCGAAGTCGCTTCCCCGAGTGCTTCGACAACGCTTCTCTCGAGGGCTTCGACAGCGGCATTCGTTCGCTCGTTGGTTCACTCATCGTTCGATTATTGATTTGTAAAAACATTCACTCATTGATTGATTGAATGATTCACTCATTCAATCACTCATTGATTGATTCATTCATTCATGGGTTCGTTCATTCGCTCTTTCCTGTGGTGTTTCATGCATTTATTTAGTAATATTTACATTTTTTTAGTAATTCATATATTAATTAATTCATTCATTCATTTAGTAATTCATTTAGTAATTCATCCTTTCGTGATCAACACTCCTCCTTTTCATGTCGGAGTTAGCCATCTGAGTATGGATCCAAATTTGGATTCTGACCGGTTTCCTCGGCGGAATGTTGGAACTGCACGGTGAGGAATTTGCGCGTCCGTGCAAATTTCGTCTTTTCGCCATTCCGCCTCGGTGGCTGCAACTGAAAAAAAAGAGTTTCTCCCCTCTTTCAACCTGCCAGAAGACCCTTCAGGCAAAGATTAATGGAAAAGCGGTTAAACTTGGACGAACGAGGGGGGAACTGCACAGATGTGCAGGGAAGACGAATCTGCGCGAGCGTTCTTCCTCGTGGGAGGACTGGCGATTGGGGGTGATGGGAGGACTGCTTCCACTCCAAAGAGTTTTTTTTTTAAGTGGTACACCGCGGAAATGAGGTGCAGTTTTTCACCTGGTTGGAATGACAAAATATGTTTTATTTGCAATTCTAAATAACTAAAAATTTAAAAGGCTTCTGGGAAGAGGACTCGCCTGACATAATAATTCATTGAAAGGCGAGCTGCGCCATTCACACCCTGTGCCATTCGCACTCTTTGCCATTAACATTCTGTGCCAAAAAGGATCTCCTTCTGGGGAGAATCTTCAACTGCTGCCAATTTTTTTTTCCGCAGAAACGAGAGAAAAACTGCTGTTCTTGCAAAACTCGGACTGTGTGAAAATTGGCAAATCGGCATGACTAACACATCCCCCGTCATCACGTTTTTTTGCAGAAGGAAATAGCGAGAGTGCAGTGCAAAAATCGCCGGACACGGACCCGCGCCTCCGCGAGAACGACGAGAAGCGGCTGCTGGACTACCTCATGCGGGGCTACGACCGGGACGTCCGGCCGGTCCGGAACGCCTCGAGGCCCATCCAAATCAAGCTCGGCATCACGCTCACCCAGATCTTCGATATGGTGAGTGTGTGCGTGAGGATGAGTGTGTGAGTGAGGATTAGTGAGGATGAGTGAGGATGAGTGTGTGAGTGAGGGTTAGTGAGGATGAGTGAGGATGAGTGAGGAATAGGGGATGCTATTGAGGAGTAGTGAGGAAT